CCCCACACACACACCCGACGACTGTCTCATGAAAGGCTTGGGGTGCTGGCGATGTGTTTTGCCTTCATGGGCCACTCCGCCGCAGTCGCAGTCGGCTTGGAGGGAAATTGAAGCAATAAAAAAAAGCGAGAGGGCTGTTGCTGCTGTTTCTGGCGTCGCTTGCTTGCCGAGCCGACAGCTCTCGTCGTTGTTCTATTGCTTTTGCCACCGGAACCTCCCTACCGGCTTCTTTCTTTTTCCTCCCTCCCTCCCTTCCTTCCTCTCTCTCTCTCTATATATATATCCTTGTCGTTGCCTTGAAACTCCTGCACGACGCGAAGGAAGGAACGAACGAGCAGGAAAAGGCGCTCTGTGGGCGAAGCAACATAACAGGCCGCCAGGCGAGGCAAAGAAAAACTTACTCATTCGTGCCAAGTAATGCTAAACACAGGGGTCGCCACACTCGTGGATCAGCAGAAGCGCTCCGTGCTGGATGCGCTGGAGGCGCAGAAGGTGCACATTCGTGTGCAGCAGCGTAAGGGAAAGAAGTTTGTCACGTCCGTGCAGGGGCTCAACCAGGCGCTGAACTTCCGCCGCATCAGCCGTGAGTTTCAGCGGCGCTGGGGTTGCAACGGCACCGTCATCACGACACCGGAGGCAGGCATCGTTATTCAGCTGCAGGGCAACTGGAGCGAGGAGATTAAGCGATTTCTCCTCGACGAGAACATGGCGACCGAGCAGAACTTAGAGATCCACTCGCTGAACTAAAAGCAACCCACACACCTCCACACACACACACACACACACATGCATTTGTCTAACTGTACGGTTGTGTATATTCAGGCGTAGCTGTGTGCCTCTGTGTGTGTGCGTGTGTGTGTCTGTGGGCTTTTCGAAGGCGGACGGGAGATCGAGGGAAGTGGCTTCAGTCCGGTGTTGCCTCCCGCCGGGACCACAAGTGGGTTTTGTGGCTCTGCGTGTCGTTAACGGGGGGGAGGCGTCGCCGTGGCTCCCGCCGCCGGGCGTTTAATGTTGTGGGTGTGTTGCCGCTGCCGTTGCCGGCGGGGGAGACGTGTGGGCGGGCGATTTCCCCCGCAGGGCCCAGGCGGGAGCGGGCGGCGTTGGCCGCCGGAGTTCGGTGCCCCACCGTCATTTTTAAGCCGAGTGCAATGAATGCGGGGCAGCGGCCGTAAGAGAGCAAAAAGCAAAACGAAAAAAAAAACCGGAAAAACAAAAACAAAAAGGAAGGAATTAAAAAAAAGAAAAAAAATTAGAGGCGGAGAAGTGTGAGTGGCGGTAACTAACAAGCGGCAGGCGGCAGAACTGCAACAGGAGGAGAAGGAAAGGGAAGGGAAAGAGAGACAATTTTTTGTAACTACTCCAAAGACACCCGAGACGAGGGGGAGGAGGCGCCGCCGCGGTCGCGTGTGTCTACTGGAGGAATTTGTCTGCGTGCGAGAGAACGAGATCGAGAGCGCGAGACGGCGGCACACAAACGTGTGGTGCGGTTTGCTGATTCAGTGACTTCCGTGGTGTATTCCTTTCTGCTCTCGCTGCGCCACACGCCGCTTCATCCTTCTTTCCGTTGTTTTTTTTCGTTGTTTTCCCGTTTTATGCCGCCTCCCCCTGCCGCCCCGGCCGCACACGCAGCTCAAGTTCTCCTTGCTTCTCGCTTTGCAGCTTGAATACCCTGCGGGGTGGCGGTCGGTTCCTGCGCTCCCCGGCACCGCGCGGTATTCGTCCTCCTCGTGCCTCGCCGCGTCGGGCGGCGCCTGCACGGAGACTCGGGGACCCTCGCCGGCGTGGTGCGCGCGCCGCTGCTCGACGGCCGCGGGGCGGACGGAGCACGCCTGAGGGGCACAAGCCGAAGGGAAACGCGGAGGGAAAAAAGAGGGAAGGAAAAACGAGAAGAGAAAAGGAAACGGGAGGAGCGGAGCAAAAGGCGCGGCCCTCTTCGCCCCCTCCCCGCAGCGGCAGTGAGCAGGACGACAGGTCCCGTTCCGCCCACACACACACAAAACAGGGCAGGAGGGGCGGCGTCGACCGCGCCGAGGCAGCGCGGCCGAAAATATACGTACACCACTGAGAGAAGCTAAAGCCGGAGGAGAAAAAAGGGGAGACGGGGGAAAAAGGCAAAGGAAAAAAAAAGAAGAAAGAAATAAAAAACATTGCTTTTTCAAGGAAGAAGGAGGGAA